TAAGTACTGCTGCTACGAGAGAAGATAACAAACCTTTTATTAGATTAAAAAAGTATTTTTTTCCAATAAAAGTTTTAGTATTAATGGGTATTCGAAAAATACCCCGCTGATTTGTGTGAATCTAGTGACTCTCACAGGTTTCTTTTAAAGCCAACCTTAAACCATTGGGATAGTTTAAGAAAGTTTTAAAAATAAATTGTGGTCTAATGGTTTAGGATTCGGACTATACGGGGGATGCATAAATCATACCAATTACTCTCTAAAAATGAAATAGTAAAAATTCTACTATTTGAATTGGTACCAGCATTTTTTACTAATAAAGTATTCGTTTTCACTTTTAAATAGTTATTTTTACTTCGTAAATAGTTCAAGTTTGACTAATTAAAGATTAGTCACCATCTTTGAATATTTCTGATAGTTAAAAGTAACTTATTTCTTTAATCGTTTGCGGCCAACAACAAAGTATTATTTGAATTAAATGCATATACCTAGGCTCCATGGTTAAATGACCCATAAAAACAAATACAGATGCAAAAAGTTTAGCTCAAAATAGCAACACAAATAATATATTTAACTTTAAACTATTATGAACAATATTTGCTGACAAATAAAATTGATTTTTATAAGAGCGGCTGATGGCCGAATGGGTTATGACAACAGCTTGACAAGCTTGACAAGTGACAGACCTGAGTTTAATCCCCGGCTGGGTCATAACTTTTTTTAAATTTAAATCTACTAATTTGACTATTCCATTTAGTAGAATTTGACTAATTATAATTATTAGTGACTGCTTTTTCGCTATGACAATTAGTCAAATATGACTTATAATTAGTTATTTTTGACCAATTCATTTTAAGAGAGTAAGTTTTCTCAATTTTTGAGATGTACAGAATAAAATTTGTTTCATATGGCAACCAAACATTACAGATTTCTGCAAATGGTTCAAAAAATTTTGGCGATGATCGTTTAGTTTCTTAGCAATGTTTATGCTGCTCATTTTTTAAATTTTTTTGTTAAATCCTTGACCAGAGTGGTGTGCATCTGTAACATCAATTTTTTTTCTTTTCTTTTTGTTATGCTTGATGCGCTGGAGGTAATGATATTTTTAAAAGGGTGGCTTAATTTAACAAAAGTCGTAAAACTTTTTCTGTTGACTATCAATTACATTGACGATGTAATCACTTAAAAATCTAAATTTATTAGGAGGTATTTATAATATTTATGAAAGAATAACAAAATTTTACAAAACTTGACGATAACGATATGAATTTCTTCATTATTTACTTTCTAAAATACAAAACCTCTGATATCTATAAATATATAAATTTACCTGAGCAGCATAAACATATTTTAAATTGGTGACCAAAACATTAAATAAGAAAAAGAGCCGAGTTTCTGGAAACCAAAAATTTGTTATTTTTTGTTTAAAAAATCCACGAATTTGCCTTATAAGAAGATACCGAAGTTAAAAATTAAAAAACCTCCTTATTAAGCACAAAAAGCAAAGAAAGCAAAATTAAAACATAAACGTGTTTATTCTAATATACACACAAAAAATCGTTTTAATATATCTGGTAGAATTCTGTTAAAATATGTCTTTTATCCAATTAAATATTCTATCTACTCCTTTTGCATAATATTGTGGTTTTTCTGCCACGACTAACAACGGAAATAATGAACTCATTATTTACTGTGATTTAAACCAGTCGGGTTTTAAATTGGGAGAAGGCGACTAAAATACTATTTAAAATTGTTATAAAGTAAGGTTAACCATCTGATATATAATTTCATTTATTTATACTAGAAAATCATTTAAATATCTACTAATTGGAGCAGATAAAGTATACTATTACAAAGAATATTCGCATTATCCCGTATAATATATTATTATACGCTATACAAATGTTTTTAAAAATAAGGCCGAAAAATGTTAAAAATTTCGAGAGGAAATTCTGGGTTGAGTTTTTACCGATTTCCCAATAAACAGTAAAAATTCGAATGAACAAATAAATTGCAAAAAGTCCATATAAATATAAATTGAATTTAAATTAAAAAAATGATTTACGTAAAAAATTATACACATTTTAATTCAGTAAAAATCATAATCATAAAACCATAAAACAAAATTTGTTAATTTAATAAGTCGTCTAAATTCAAACGTTATGCAGTTTTAAAAGCGTTGATAATAAAAGTCTCTTTTTAAAATCCAGTACTAAACCAAACTTTTGCAGTTTTTAGTTGAAACGCGAAACACAGATAACGTGCGCGATTTAGATCTGCAATTGAAACTTTGCGAACAAAATTTGTCGAGTAAGATTTCTTTTATAAAAAAAGTACACGTTTATTTAAAAATGATGTGCAGTTCGTATGCTTTAAATGTATTATTGACACACCTTGTAGATCAATAATGCTATTGAGCGAAACCAGATCACCGAATCTTCTATAGCGTATACGCTATAGAAGATTCGGTTATATATAATATTATATATAATATTAATAATGGGAAAAATAAAGTAGGCGACATCGCTCTGATTATAGCATCGCACCATAGCTCCGCTTACAAAGAAATAAACACAGTATTAAATCTAAATATTGCATTTCAGATCGCTTATCATCCGTTTGTTTGTTTATTTTGGTGAGCGGAGCTATATTTCTATTCTATGGTAGGAGCGATGTTCGGTGCTCCATTGTATTTACACACTAAGACTCAGAGTCTCTGCTAAGACTAGAGTGTGTTGCAATTCAGCTTACCTACACGGAGAGTATTTTATTTCAGATCGCTTATCATCCGTTTGTTTGTTTATTTTGGTGAGCGGAGCTATATTTCTATTCTACACTCTTAGAAAAGACCTGGTATTTGTAACTAACTTATTATCGTTGGGGTAAAACTGTTGCAGAAAATAAAATTTTTTGTTTTTTGTAATCAGTACCTTTATATGTGTAACTGCTTGCATCATTACCTGAAAAGATTTAGTTTTGTTGTTGAGTATTATTTACTGCAAAAAGGCGATTAAGTTATTTTAACTGAAACTTTGTGTTGGCTAGAAGTATTGACAACATTATCTCAAAAAAATCATTTCGGCGGTAAAATGTTTTTGTTGGACCAAATATTTAAGTAACATTCTCAACTGACTGAAATTAGTCCGTGGAACTAACGGTTCGGTTGTATAAAGTATGCGTCACTTTTCACTCAGCTAAGACACCAGCGGTGTGAAACAAAGTGTTAGTTGGGGATGTTGTCTCTGTAGGTTAATGCAACTGCAAACTTTGTGCATTTTCTTTTCGCGCGCGATTTGTCCAGCCCGGCGCGTGCTTTACTTTTAACCTGTAAACAAACGGTGTTGCACGGCGTCCAGAGTCTGGACTCCAGACTTCGGTGGTGTTTGTTCTTTTGTATTTGTGTATCAGCTCGTGTGTAGTGTATATTTTAGGTAAGAAACTAGTTTATTACAATTAGTCATTTGCCCCTGTAAATTCAGTGGCGACAAACTTTTTAACTATTCATATATATAAGAGAATATTCTTATGTGTTGGTTACTTATAGATATCTCGAACAAATAATATGGATGAGCGGACTGAAGTAGCAGATTTATTAGGAACATGGGGTTTACCTGAATTGGTTCCAGTTTTTAAAGGTTAGGTATTATTATTGCACTCCTTTAATTACACTATTGTAGTTTTGGGGTCCGAAAAAAAATCCAAAAATGTGAAAATGCCATTCCGACTGAAAATGGCCTCCTGAATCCAATGGTGCCCACCAAAAGTCTCCATCAGGTCGGAATTTCGAGAATTTTTTTGTTTTGTTACAGCTCAAGTCGCATTTTTGGTATAGGGCCTATACTATAGGCACTCACATTCAAAATTTATCGAATGCTTACCCCTGTTATCATGCAAGTATGTTACGTTGTACCTAAGAATCATTGTTAAGTTGTTAAACAAATGCTTGCACTTCACGTAAACATCACGGTTTACTGAAGAAGTATAGTCAACTTTCATCTTAATGTACCTGTGTATATTTACCAAAGAATCGTTTTTGTTTTATTGTTAAAATATTTATAAATGTTTTCTTAGAGTAATTATTAATTTTTTTTATAATGTTTAAACCAAAATTTGTTGTTTTCAGTTATATTGTTATTTTTTAATTTATAATAAATATTTATAAAACGAACGGGCATGAATTTCCTTTCTCTATTTTTTTATAATATTTACACAAAAAGTATTATATTTAATAAGCAGGTATGTACTGTGGAATAATACCAATTTGTTGTTGCTACTAATGCAAGCATTTAATATTAAATATAACTTAGTTACAGTACAAAACAAATTTATATTATATCAACTATTAAATTCTTTAAATGTACCTTTTTTCATGTAATTTCAATTAAAAAATAAATTCCTGCATGATACAATGTTTGTTGCGATAAATAGCAAGTGCAGTTGTTACAACTTAGACGCTGCTAAAATGACAGACTAATGTGATTGCATTAAATATCAATTATTTGTATGAAAAAAAAACTAATTTCGATGCACTTAAACTTGTTGGTTGGAGCTACCAATATTGGCTGTTCCGACAACAAACTGTAAAAACAAATTTGTATTAGTTCCCACAACATATTTTTTTGGTGTGCCTATTTTCACTAATAAAATTGGTTCTGGGAACTAAATTTTCATTGCAAATACCAGGTCTTTTCTAAGAGTGTATGGTAGGAGCGATGTTCGGCGCTCCATTGTATTTACACACTAAGACTCAGAGTCTCTGCTAAGACAAGAGTGTGTTGCAATTCAGCTTACCTACACGGAGAGTATTTTATTTTTCATGTTTGGAAATGATTAGGTACCGATAAATCCAGTTCTTAGGTTTATCCCCCCCCCTTGCCACGGACCTGGCTGTATCTTTTTAGTTTATAAATGAACGATGAACCTTATTAAAAAAATGCCATATTTCTTTTAAAAAATACGTGAAATGTATAACAATTTCTAATTATTACTTTTTTTTTTAGTTTCATCAAGACGAAAATAAAAAGTCGAAGTCGATAGTTAAGCCCTTAGGGGCCTCGGATATTGCCTGTGATAAACTTAATCGAAAAATCAACAAACAGTATAAAAATCGGTAAGTTATATTTGCTTTTTTAACTAATAACTTTTGTAAATAATTCTTTTTGTAAATTTTAAACAACACTTTTTTATTCTTTGACATTCATATTCCAAAAAAAAACAATAGTTTTTGTGAAATAAAGCTTAAACCGATTGTACGCATACAGATAAAACAGTTAATGGTTTAATAGCCACATTAAATTTGTAACGATCCCAATTAACAATGGCATATACTAAATGTTCAAATAAATGCCGAAGGCAAAATGCGAATGTTGACAAATTATTGTCTAAATAAATAAAACGTGTAACGCATACATTATCCATTGAAATGTGCACATTATTTAAATCTGCCAATTTGTATCGAATGGATAATTGCAGTTTTTACCGTTTGAATACCAAAAGCCTAATTTGAGATAAAAATAAATAAAGGGAGGCTCAATAAAAATACCAATAAAATTAAAAAAGCTTACTTTTAAAAAAGATAACACCTGTCGAAAATAAATCAGGGGAGCTTTGGAATAAAATAAAGATTTTAAATATTTCTTGTACTTTACATGGTTACGAAAACTGAAATGTACGATATAACAAAACAATTAAATATTAAATACCATCCAAGAAAAAATAGTTGAATCCAAATGGATTTAATTTTATCAGAATAAATTTTTCTAAAATTTAAATTATACACTGAAAAAAATTTAGTCCATAACATCAATTAATACAGTTTATTGACTAATTTTTTATTGGGACAACGATTTTTTCATTAATGTAAAGAAATGTTATGTACGGTATTTTATTAACTAATCACGTGGTTCATCATCATGATGAACTAGTAGTTATTGTAATAGTAATTAATTTTACATTAGTCAATGTATAATATTTATTTTGACAACAAATTTTTTATCAGTCCAGTAAACAATTTCATTAAATACATGAATTTGTTGATTAATTTGTATGAACAACTTTTACTAAATTGTTTCGTTATGATAATGTAATAAAGTATTAAATGATAATTTGTCCATTGTGTTAATGTTTTGGGATTAATTTCCGCAACGAACAAATAAAATGCTTTATTAAAAGTATACATTACATTGACGAATGCATTCATTGAAATAATGTTCTTGGTTCTAATTATAAAAAGCACGGTATTAATGTATTGTATACATAGATTAATGAAACGCATACTTTATATTAACAAACGCATTCATTGAATAAATGTACTGTCCTAACGATAAAACAATCATTGAATTAATGTTCACAGTTAATGTTAATGTTAATTATATTAACGTACAACCAAACAAATGAAATATAATAAAAATTATTAATATTGTCTCAACGTAGGGATTAATTTGTTTTAATAAATGTTTACGTTGGAACAATAATAAGGACATAAAAATTCTTGACAAGACGAGTTTGGAAACTAGCTCTGCTTAGTTTCCTTCATTTGAAAAATAGTGCGGGCATCAACTGCATGAAAGAGGATATTTCTTAGTACAGTGTATTTCTTGGTGACTGGCTTTATTTAAAAAAGGTAATTATAATTTAGTTTTTAAATATAATTTTGATAAACTGATTTATTAGTATTAGGCTTTACAGGTTTAAAAAACACTTCGAAAAGAACTTCGACAAGTACCTTGAATTTTTAAGTAATGAAAATAATGATAAAGACAAGAATATTAAAGCTTTTTTTGGAAAACCCAAAGACCAATAATAGTATTTCTAAAAGTAAGTCGCATTACCTATTTAAGTTTAATTAAAATATATAACCATTTATTTATTGCATAGGTATTGATATATTTTCTACTAAAGAAATTTATATTTTTTAACAACATTAGATTTAATTTTTTAAATATTTTTTGTTTTTAATCTTTGTTTTTTTTTAAGTTTTCCAGCTAGAAGAGCACTTAGACTCAGCGAAGTGATAAAGCGAAAAAAAGTTTTTTTAATTTGCAACAGCTACTCAGAAATGATGTGTGGCAACTTTAATAATAATTATGTGATATATCACATTTAGTTTTTTTCAATAGGTTTAAGTTAATTTATATTTGTATTATTAAAAAAAAATAAAAAAAACAATAAATATATATTTTTTTATTTTTCCTTTGTTGTCAAAAGTCATTTCAAAAATTATTAGTATTTGCAAGTCTATGAAATTCATCATTAACATTGGCAAATTCACAGCAAAGCGCACATGCGGGAAATGACAGAAAAAATTTGTTGGTGTGGTGATCGAACCCACGTTAAGGTTTTTTCTGTCTTTTACAACTTGTCTCTAAAAATGAGTTAGTCAAAAATGACTAATTTAAAAGTTATTAGTGGCTGCTTTTTCACTTGTACCATGGTTAACCATGAAATACCATGGTATCCCAAAATTTAATGGCCAATTCTTATGTAAAATTGTCCCCTGAATCTGAAAATGTCAAAAGTTAAAAAAGTAGGACAGTTTTTGAGATATAGTCAATTTTCCATTTAATATGGAATTGACTATATATTAAAAACTGCTCCACTTTCATAATTTTTGACGGTATTTTCGGATTCAGGGGACAATTTTACATATGAATTGGCTGTTAAATTTTGGGATACCATGGTATTCCATGGTTAACCATGGTACAAGTGAAAAAGCAGCCACTAATAACTATTAAATTAGTCATTTTTGACTAATTCATTTTTAGAAAGTAGAATTATTGTATCGATAAATTAAGTTCATTACATTAATAAACTGATTAATTATAACAATTACTAAAATTCATTGTATTGACAATGTCATTTGTTGCATCAGCTACAATAGTTCGTTAAGAGTATGAATATATACATTTGATCTATATTTAACGATTACAGTATCAACGAATAAAATTAATTGTAATAATAATTTTTATTCTTTCAAACTATTACTTATATTGATAAGACTAATAAAACAAATAGATATAATTAATAACCAACAATTGTCGAATTAACAAAATATAGTTATTTAAAAAATAAATAGTGTTCGTTACAACAGTAACATATTTTATTGAATAAACAAAACTAACATATTCTTTTCAATAAATTAATTTTTATTAATAAAATTAATTATTTATTGGTTAATAAATTCTTTGATCGATTAATGAAATGTGTTTCATTGATTTGATAAAATCGTTCGTTGGACCAAAATCAATGTAGCATTTCATCTAGACAATGAAGTTTTTTATTATATTTACGCTACTTTTTGGTTCAGTGTAGGTAGCTTAAGTTTATTACTTAAATTGGCATTATATCTTTCTTAAGTTGACATTATTATAAAAAGAGAGTTATAAGACAGTTATAAATATCTTATTTAGGTTGTCGTTCTCTTTGTAAAAAATAATTACATTTTTATAAAATATGATTATTTTTTTGTAAAACATGCTCCAAAAATCATTTTTGTAAAAAAAACGTTTATTTTTAAGGTGGTTTTATTCTTCAAAAAATCAATTTTAATAAAAAAAATACTTTTTTCTGGATTTTTAACTGAATGAAATGTTACTGAAATTTGAATAAAATCGAATGTCTATTTCCTTACATTGATGAGTTGGGGTCAAGTTTTAAAAATTCCACCATATGTGGTCAATTTCTTTCTCCATTGTCGATTCACTGACATGAATAACAAAAAATCGTAGAAGTAAGGTAAGATATACAGTAGAAACCACGAATATATGAACGTGACTCATCAGGCACAACCGTACGAAGCAATCTATCGAAGGTCACGGTCCAGTGCAGTGCTGTTCTAACGGGGGCATAAGTATTTGTAAAAAATCTTAAGTGTAATGTTGGTTGCTATACTTCTGATATATTTGCTTTTAAAGTTAAATTTTAATAATTAACATATACGATAATTAAATAAAATGTAATTTTCTTAAAAACTAATTAATAAATAAACTTTTATTTTAACTTTAATGAAATATTCTATCATCTGATGACAGAATGTACACTCGTGGCGACATCTCTGTTTTTAATATCTAACAAATTTTAGACCGATCCAACCTCACTTTCTTCCAATTAAATTCTTTGTATATGGTATTTTTTGGAAACATAGAAAAAGTATAGTCTGAAACACGTTTGGAATTGCATATTCCTCTCTTGTGAAACCGTCAAACTCGCCTTCGGCTCGTGTGACAAACTTTTCACTTGAGCGGAATATGCCGTATTCCAAACTTGTTACAGAATATACTATTCTTTTAACTGTAAACGCAAATATTTCAGAATTGGTGACAAAAAACAAAAATATTTACACAGGTCAGGTACAAAGTGAAAGATATTTTATCTACTCCTACATCGACGAGCTGTAACTTTATGACGTTTTATTGACGGGCTGAAGTTAACAACAGTGGCTTTTCGACATTTTACGTCACGGGCTGAAGTTAGCTTTATTATAAATTGGGAAAAAGTGAGGTTAAATTCGGGTGACAGTTGACAGATGTCAAAATTTTAACAAATAAAATTGGCTTTAAATTCTGTTTTGTGTTCGTCGTAGATAAAGTATATTATGCGACTCGTTTATAAACTTCTCTAGACACTCGTTTCTATTAAACACTCGCTCGCAAGCTTCGCTCGTGCTTAATTAAACTCGTAACTAAAATGGCGTTTATAAAACTTGATACATAATATACTATAAATTGTTTGGATATAAAAACAACTTGCGTTAGTTTCACGAAATTTATTAAATATTGACAATTGTTTTGCTACACAGTAGCTTCTTCAGAATATATTAAACTAATACTAGTACAAAATTTATATAATAAAAATATTTTTGTATTCTAGCCTAGAATTTCTAGGTAAGGATTTTTATACGACATAATATAAACCACTGCCACTACAACGTTTAAAACGATTATTATTCCGTAAACACACAGCAGAAACACGATATGCAAAAACAAAGATCATATAACATATAAAAACAAATTGCCGACGGTAGAGTTGGTTGCCTTACTATGTAATAAAATAAAATAAATTGCCTAAAACACGAACTCTACTGAATTCCAACAAAAATAAGTAACAAGCTAG